TTTTTTTTTTTTTTTTTTTTTTTTTTTTTTTTTTTTTTTTTTTTTTTTTGCAAGGGGGAGTCTGGTGAGTTTGGAAGGCTGTGTTGGGGGCCATCACCGAAAGTTAAGGAGCTGGGACAGAAAACCTGCTTCTCTGGTTCCATCCCAGGGAAGGCACTATCTAATCCTGGCTGGAAAAAATGCATCTTTTCTTTTTCTCTTTTCTCTTTTTTCCCCCCAGTGGACACTGCTGGTGTAGGGGTCTCCCATTCTGAACAGGAATAATTCAGTATGATTTGATAGGGGTGGCAGGGGACATGGGGTCTGGAGTGTGCGCATCTGAATGCGAGGTTCAAGGTGGAAAAGGGTAAGGAGGAGGCAGCTCGGTGTTTCCTTAAACTATTATGTTTGTATTTGCAAGAAACTTTCTCGCTCAACTTAAGTGCCACGCTATGTTTATCATTCTCTTAAAAATATAAGAGGAGGGCAAAAATCGATGCTTTCTTGCTTTGGGGTCTTGTTTGGTTTTGTTTACCCCTTAGGAGTTCCTTCTTTTCACAAAAATCAACAAAATTTAACAGGGCGATGATAAGTTGTTTTCCCTTTTATAAAGGATGTTAAAGATTAATGGAAGGGTAAATTGTAATTGTGGCATTTATAAGCAACATTTTAACATAATGAAATTTTTCCAAGATTTCTTGTTGTATTCTACTCATCTTGTCAAAACCAGTCACCAAATTAAGTAAGAGCTAGGAGAGGCTCACAGTTCTTATCTGTACACCATTTCACTTTAAACACATTAATTATATTTCATTGCTTACAAACCTGTTTGTAATGGCTTTACTGATTCAAGATGATGCCTGAGAGTGTAGAAGCTTTTTAAAGGCATATCACATTAAATTATAGAATTCTTACTGAAAAATATGCTTTAAAATACTTGAAATACTTATAAAGATTCAGGAAAGTGCTAACAAATGCCTTTAACAATTCTCATGTTAGGATGGTATTAGTTATAGCACTCTGAACTAAAATGTTACCATAGCTGTTCCTTAACCAGGCAGTGCATTGAATTTCCAAACCCAATTCCACAAACTGGTTATACATACATTTAATTCCCATTTCTCTAGCATCCCACCACCAAGTCTAAATTCAACAACCAAATCCTGATTGATTACACTTTACCTCAAAGGAAAAAAAAATACCCCTTTTCATGCAAAAGCAAAAGCAAACCATTCCAGCTTCCATCTGTTTTGAGAAGAAACATTTTTCTAGCAGTGACCCTAGCAGAATTGGAGAGGGATTGAAAGATGTATGTGGGGATGTTTGCATTTTTGTGTGTTTGGTTTGTGTGTGTGTGTGTGTGTGTGTGTATGTGTGTGTGTGTGTGTGTGTGAGGGGGGGGGGAGGGAGATATCAGCACATGGCTTGACTATAAAGTATGTCCTTTAGCCTCACAGAAGCATTAGTGAGCATATTTAACAAGGCAATCACAGGCAGAGAATAGAATCACGACTTCGGCATTCAACAGTGTGCTTCCAATGGTCTTTATGAAGAGATAATACAGTTGCTTCTGAAAGCAAGGTACATCCAGAATTCAGAGATGAATTCAGTCAACAGAGCGAGTTAAGCTACCACATCCTACCTCCAAATGTGTTCTGTTACAGACACCACCTAAAATTTTTTTTCAGGTGGAGCTCATTAATGGGAGTTCAAATCAAAAAGGTCAAAAATTTTAGATCGTAAACAACAAGAAGAGAACAAAGCAAACTAAAATAAAACACAAAACCTAAAGAAACAGACTCACATTTTTTATGTTAAGCAATACTGTCACCTGAAAGCATTTCAAGTTGCATTCTTTGATGAGAGAAATTAAGATACGGATGTATTTTTGAATGGAGGAATGGAAGGGGAAGTGGAGGACGATGGTCCAGGTTTCCATCTTGCCAATGAGGTGTCATATTCCAGTGAGGTCATTTCCTGACTTCAAAGCTTTCATCTGAACTGCCTCAGTCAGCCCTAGTGGTTCTAACCTGATGTTTCTTGCAAGACACATTGATCTCTACTTGTTCTACTTTTCAGCTGCTCAAGCCCGCGATGAAGAAAAGTCCGGGTCTCTCTGACTCTCTTTGGGCCTGGACCCTCCTTCTGAGCACACTGACTGGAAGAAGGTGGGGACACTTTATTTTCAATCTGCATGGGAATTTCTGTAACTTTTTATTTATTCCCTTAAGGGAAGAAAATTGTCCACTGATAAATTTATGACTAAGAGAATTAAAAAAAATAAACCTTAACTGCAATAAAACTCCAGCTAAGAATAAAGAATAGAATGACAAAGTCATCTTATTAGAATGTCAGTTATACACTTAAACCGTTAAGAATTGTATTAATTCAACATTTAAGTCTTAAATAGAACTTTTCAGTGTTTAGCTGTAACTGGACAAAACATACAATTTCTCAATTCATAGAAAAAGTTACCAAATTAATGTCTGCATTCCACGCAAGTTCATTCTCCAAAAGAAAATTTTTAGCCAATTGTAAAGATCATAGAGTAAATCTTGAAGATATGGAAGGGAAAAAGTCTAAAACAGTATTTGCAATTTGAAAGTCTTAAGTCTTCATAAATGAATGTGCATATGATGTTTCAAAACCTTTTTTTTTGCACAACGAAGAATGGAGTACGTATTAGAAAAACATTTAAAAATAGGTTAAAACTAACTTCTTTAATTGAATCATAATTAGCAAGCAAACAAGTCATTACAAAAAATTTAAATTTAACCATATTCAGAATATTTTTGATGATCCAATCAAAAACATACGATATTATAGTTGCAACTGTATGAATGACTAAACATTTTAGATTCTTCTTTACCTGTTTTAAAATGTCTTATTTAGGCTGTTATTATGGCTCGTAAGAAAATATTAGACATACTTTAAAAAGTTGAGATTCTCCAAGTGTAAAAATGAACCCTCATGAGTTAAAGAGATGAACTAGCCTGGAAAGAAATATAAATTTAGGAGGATGACTTTTTCAGTTGAGAAGTTATCTTTTATTTTTTTCTTATTGTGCACAGTAGATACTGGCTACCAGATGAACAGGTCAACTATTGTCAGATACTCTTAATTTGAGTTCTGCTTTTGAAAAATTGTATCAAGTGTTACTATCATAATGACCTGTAGATGGAGTTAGTGCACAGTGTTTTATTATACAGTGGTTCATATGGAATCAAAATCAGGTAATATAACTGACATTTTTCTTCAAAATATGTATTCCATTTATGCAACACTACGTTGCCATGAGTGTTCATCACTAAAGAAATAATTGTGATGTTTTTCCTAAATTTCTTCTCTGGCATTTACAATTAGACATAGTAAATTAGACGTGAAGAAATGTGAAAAAAATCACATAAAGTATTTCCATTCCAAATGAGGTAGCAGGACTACTCTCCCTGGGGAAGGCGGAATCTCTTTTGACAAGAGTATTTCAAAGTAAACAATTGTTGAAAGCAAAAATTAGAAAAAAATCATTTCCCTAATTGTGCATAAGCTGTGAAAGTATAGGAAACATGGGTAAGAGTAAAAGATACCCATATTCCATAGGTTGGGTAACGATCTGACCGTACTCTGCCAGACCATCCCATCTTTTCTCCCTGTTTTTGATCACTGCTTTCTTCTTTAGAGTTCTCCATCAGGAGCTCCTCACAACTTAAGGTGCGCTAGCAGTTCTTTTCCATCTTTATCAAGATGACCTTCCAATATCCTTGAAAGAGGCATGCATGGCTCTTGCTCTTGTGACAATGATTTTTTATAAATACTTACATCCAGAAAATTATTTTTGCGTTACTGCTGTCATCTGCCAGTAAGACACACTTGAAGACACAAAATTGAAAATTTGATTCAAAAAAATAGCAAGATGTTTAATTTTGCCATAGAATAGTAAGCCCTCAAATTGTGTGGCATTAAATGTTGAATTCAGAATAATAAAGCATTGTTTCATAGGAGAGAGAGAGAGAGAGAGAGAGAGAGTCAGCCATGGGTAGCTTTTAGATAACTAACTTGTTAAATAAGAACTTTGTCAGAAAGGCATCCATTGCATGTTGCTAATACAAATTTATTACCTGCAAAAGTTTGTGATCATTTGATTATATTTCTTTTCCGGTCAAATAAGTAAATTTTGGTTAAAAAGTTGCTATTTTTCCTATATTTCTCAGTAATATAAACACATGAGAGTGAAGCAAAAAGTCCCTTAAATAGAAACTGGAAAGATACAGATTTGTGGCAGCTTCTTAGTTTGTCCACTATTTTCATTTATCATTGTACTCAAGGTCAGAGCTATCATTCATTGATGTTTATCAATCAGTGTGATCCATGCTAAGATAAAAAATTATTTTCTCAAAGGAGTTTGGAGGTATCATGCTAATCATTACATAAAATATACTTTCAAGGGGCATAGATATTAATATGACTGATATAGAAAATAATATTTTAACTGAGGTCACTATAAGGCTGAAAATCAAAAGACTAATTAAGTGATGGTAACACATCAGCTACATTCTCAAACAATAAGATCTGAACACGAATAATTATTCCCACATAGAAAAATCAAGATTAAGTTTTAGCCAAAAGTTTATAAAAACTCATTTCTAGATCAGATTTGCTCACAAACTGTGGTGTGTGCTTAAATAACACCCTAAAACCGTAACCATTTAGTGAGGTATAAACTAAGAGCATTGAACCTGATCTTTTCCAAGGATTCTTTTGTGGCTAAATCTAGAAATGACAAAATTCAATTCGTTAGATTTGGATAAAAACATTTTAAAAATCAGACAACAAATCTTAAGGGAAAAGGAAATTTTCATATTGATTTAAAACATAATCTACAAAATAAGTTTTATCTATGTTTCCGATCTAAATGTCTTAAAGGATAACCAAAAAATCAAAGCAGGGTTATAGGAAGTGGATGAAAAAAGGATGCTGAGAAAGTGAAAGCAGTTTGATGTATGTTAAATTAAAAACAAAACTATGAATTGTCTTCTAACTCATATAGACATATATATATATATATAAACGTATATATATACTCTCTCTCTCTATATATATATATATACACACATATATATACATGTACATACACACACACATATATATGTATATATACACATATATATATATGTATATGAACTTGCAAAGAAGTTTTCTAGGTTCCCCCCCCCAATTTGAGTTAACAGCTTAGCTTGGTCTGAGAAGATACTGTATACACTACAACATAATATACACATTGAAAATTCAAAAAGTAAGGAGACAAAACTCCTTTTACATTATTTTCCTTTTAAATGTAGAAATATTAGAATAAAGGGCCTATCACTGGTGAGGAAAAATATGAAAAAATGACAAGAGCTAAAATACAGGATTTAAAAAAAAATTTTACCAGAAAGAAGTGTCAAAGACTCAACAGAAAGTAGGAACATTGGGAAAAGTTTTGAATTAGCAAAAGGTTTTCGTACATGGCTTTCACAGTACTTCTCTTTATGCTTATTTTCAGCTCTGCACAGCCTTCAGTACAAGATGAACTTAAAGACAACACCACTGTCTTCACCAGGATTTTGGACCGACTCCTAGATGGCTATGACAATCGCCTAAGGCCAGGACTGGGAGGCGAGTAACCTTAGTTTACTTTTGCTTTAGGGACTGATATTAAATCTTTATTACAATCTTGCTTTCCTTTTCAGGGGTAATCTCGTGAAAATGGAACATGCAGTCTTAAAGATTACTTTTAAAAGGGTACTCATTGTTGGTTCAGTTTTACCATCGTAGTTTTGTGCCCACATCTGTATATAGGAAGAGACAAAATTCTCATAACATGACAAAGATATGACGTTTACTTGACAAGTGCAATGCTTTCTAATAATTTGATTCTGCGTGGACAAGTAGGGGTAACGTTCTTCTTTCCAGACTGTTTCGACTTCACCTGGCACTGCTATTTTTACACTGAATTCAAATAAGACACCTCTATTTCTGTTGCTTAAATATATATTTTGAAGCCAGTCATAGCGGTGCATGCTTGTCATTCCAACACTAAGAAGGCTGAGACAGGAGGATGACAGGGAGTTCAAGTCCAGCTGAGGATTAAATAGTGAGTTCAAGATCAGCCGGAACTATATAAAGAGACCTTGTCCCCAAAACTAAACAAGCAAAAAATAAACATTTATTTTGGTGTATTACAAATAGATAACTCTATCTCATGTTAGATTAGCTGCACCTCTACGATCAACAGTAAATGAGATACATAGTTCTGTTTTTTAAACCTTGCATTTGACCTTACATTCTAATTTTCTGTATTAAACTTATTTCTCTTGGCGTATCAACTAATTGATTATAATAGGGAATTTCTGCTTATAAAATATAAAAACACTACAGTGACAACAGTTACTTAACTCTAGAAATTGCACACATATTTGAATAACCCTTGAATGAAATGACAAAGCACTTTCCTTTAAACAAAGATTAATGAACAACATCAAAATATTGATCTTACAGAACAAGAAGTGAGGCAAGAGAATAAATGATAGTTTATAGTCACAGGAGAATCCAACGTTATGATTATGATTCTCAGGTATAGCTCATATTACACGTTTTTCCAACTCACTAGTAGAAACTACTTAGTAGCAACATTTAAATAGTAATGAAACGTCAACATTAAGGAAGCCAGCTCTTCTTGACTTAGCACAAATAAGCAAAGAATAAGAAGCTTCGAAGTTCAAACACTGATTTTTACAATGAATGATAACAGGAATTTAAAATCACCTAAAAATACGTGGCATTGTGCAAGCACACGGATGGGCGTCGTGGTCTGTTTTGAAGCTGGACCAATGTCCTCAGCGTCTAGAGGGTAAGAGGAACCACGCTGTCACAGCCACTACTCTAATATACATCTCGCGCCTTAGCTGATGTCCTTTCTTATCAGTTTCAAACATTCACTTTACGATATGCTATACACGTTTCTTCAAGTTGTACCTCTACCTAGATTTAGGTAAGTTTTTAATAAAAAGAAATCCTGAAGTTGCCAGGTGTGGTGACAAGCCTGTGGTCCCAGCGGCACGCAGGTCCTTTGCGCCTGGGAATTCAAGGGCAGCACGAGTAACAGGGGGAGCCTCCCCGCCCCGCCCCTCCTCCTCCCTCCTCTGCTCTCTCAAAAAAGAAAGAAAAGAGAAAGAGATAGGGGAAGGACAGAGGAGGGAGAGAGGCGAAGAGCAGAAAGGGAGGGAGAGAGGTCTTGAAAGTCAACCCGAAGGGGTCATTATCATGTCGGTTTATATCTCAACATCTGGATGGGCTCTGGGAAAGGGGCCTCCATTCACAGAATTTGAAGTAAATTACAAAGGTGGCCCACAGGGAAAGGATATACAAAAGGAGAAACAAAAGGAGGTACAAAAAGGCGAAACACGGTTTTGACGTGGACTTTTAAAAGCAATACTTACGAAGGTACTGATAAAATGTATAGGATTTCTTTATTCCATGTCTTTCCTGCTTCACGACAATATTCTTTACAAAAAGCAGAATTGTAAAACATATCTAAAAGCTTTCTTTTCATCCTACTTTAGGAAACCCTATTTACCATTTTATTTTGCTTTTTCCCATTAAGCTTATTGGTTCATTATTTTTAAATTGGTACATTCAAAGCAAATTTATCATTGCTATCTTGTACCTTTACACGAAATGTCTTGGTTCTTATTTTCCCCCATACCCTTGCCCTCCCTTCACCCCTTCACCCTTTCATGCTTATATACATATCCTCTCAAAGATTTGCGTGTAGTTTTCAGTTTGTTAAAGAATGTTACAAATATGCACAATTTCTCTAACAATCAGCTGCGCTGTTATATTGCTATTTGGGCTAGATGTAATAAGCATTAACTACTAATTTTTATCCAATCGCATATAACTCTCTAACAATAAATATATACAGTAGCTCATTATTTGAATATAATCTAAGCAGGAAGTATGTGAACTAATTATTTATGTGGGCACTATATCACACAGACCCATGAAGCCTGCGGATACACAGACTGAGAACAGGCTACTGGTGACAGTGGGAAATTTGTTCACAGAAATGGCTACACTGATTCAGCTTCAGCATCACTACTTTTCAATCTATTTTTATTATCCATTAAAACTACGAAAACAACCACAGCAGGATGAGTAAACTAAAGAGCAAAAGTAGTCATTGTCCAAGTACAGACATGGTATAGCCTTTTACACTGACATGAATATAATATGCTGTAGTAACAGGGAATTCTAGGACTTGGGAAGACTATTTTGTAAAAATGGATGTGCTTTTGTCTTTACTAAACAGTTGTTGTTTAATTTTTATATTACTTATTCCTGGAACATTGACTTATACAATATGATGAATATTAAACCAATTGAAAAGTAGCTCAAATCTTTCCTATATTTCTATTTTAAATATTTTCCGGAAATACAGTACAACTAAATGTGGTAAATTTGAGAATTTGTAAGGTTTTAATACTGACTAAACTTATTTTTTAGATATATTTTTGGAGTGCATTTTTAATCCCTAAGGGCGAAGGTGGCATATGCTTATTACAGAGAGTCATTTATATTTTTAAGTGGATTTTCAGAATATCTGTCACTAGAGAACTACAGTTTAAATCCTAAGTATAGTTTTAAAACACTGTTAAAAATATAATCAACTACAGAATTAGGAAAATAAATGTTAACGCCATTAGTTGATGATTAGTATGTTAAAATTATCTTGCTTTTTTTCTTCGGGATTATTTAATTTCATTCATTTCTGCCACAGAGCTCTGGTAATTTAAATATGACATGAGTTCCCATAAATCCTTAATGAAAAATGGATCTCCTTCATTTTGTTTTTGATATAAGCCCTTTATTTTCAGATTTTTAACTGGAACACAAACAGGATGAATTTGAAGGAATAAAATCTTGACTAGGGCACATTTTAGAAGAATTACATAAGTTTTTACCTTCTTCTTACCTGTTCTTGGTAGTTACTGGAAATTTGCTTATTATTTCTATATTCAGTTTTAAATGTACTCTCAATAAATAATGCACTGGATGATGGGTGTATCTCAAACATAGACAAAAATGGCAAACGAAAGAAACATGAATATGTTTTATTAATATGAGACAACTTCAGGTGGATGGATGAGTAGAGAGGTAGAAATGTAGACTGGTAGACAGGATCGTGCGTAGTAAGAGGACTCTGCTATATATTTAACAATATTTAGGTAAAGTTTTTTTTTCTTTGATCCATAAGTGTTGTGGATTTGGTTTTGGGAGATCTGAGTGGTTTGGTTTTGGGAGTTTTGCTTTGTTTAGATTTTGTTTTAGATTTTGCTTAAGAAAAAAGAGGATATGATACTCTGTCATATTGTGACAGTGTTAAATAAAATAAAAAGGTTCTATTGAAAATACAAAAAAAGAAGCCAGGTGCAGCCTATAATCCCATTAATTTTATCTGGTTATTTTAATGCAAGGTACGGAGCAAATGCTCAGACTCTGGCAAATTCAACTCACTTCCACAGAAAAACCTTATTTTGAAATTCTGTAACTTAGTTGAATTTCAGACAAAAGACAGACAGCTACCAAAAGCTCAGGAGGGACTTTAAAAGTGGACAGAGAGCACCTTTTAGCCTACAGTGAGTGGTTAAGATCTCCATTAACATTTTGAATTCAACTTGTCTAATGAATCCAGCCTAGATCCGCCAAGCAGTGGTCTAGCCTGTTTACAAAACCACCTCCACTCATGTGTCCTGCTGTGAAGAGTCATCTTGAAGCATCTGAGATAAGACTTGGCTAGGAGACCATACACCGATTATAAAGGCCACTCTTAGGAAGCAGCTGCAGTTTAGTTTTTGTGTAGCTAGTTTTTTTCTTTCTTTCTTTCTTTCTTTTTTCTTTTTTTTTCTTTTTTTTGTACCGGGGATCAAAGTCAAACCTTGTGTTCGTGAGGCAGGAGGTAGAACCACTGAGCTAAATCCCTGTCCCTGTGCAAACCACTTCTCCATTTCCCATCCTGATTCTAGTACCAATTTGGGATTTTTTAAAAGAACATTTTCTATACATTATTGCTTTTCATGACAGAAACTGTATTCTGCATTTACAAGAAAACATCATGGAGTGTTCTGGAGATAAGAGTCTCATTGTTAATCATCAGGGACTGCCTTTTTGGAAAATGTAACCGAAAACAAAGTCTTACGTGATAGAATATTCTTCTAAGATTTTGATATTATTTTTGTGCCTCTAAACTACTCCAATAGGAAACATGTTATGTTTCTATAGCCCCAAAGCTATAAGAAATTACAAAATTTAGATCAAATTTTATACAGAGCCCCCCAACAATTCCTCCAACAATGTCACCTATACCCCCCATAGCGCTAACACTCCCTGAGCAGAAAATACTCATCTTATGAGGAGGGGAGAGGGGAGCTTCTCAGTAGAAACAGAATAAATGACTGGTGTAATTAAATTGGCCTTTCTTTCTTGGAAATGCTTGTGTCATTTGAGTTCTTGTAATCCAAAAACAAAAAAGGGTTAAGAATGATTAAATATCTTGAAGCCCGACTTTCTATCTATATCCATATTTAGCAGCAAAATATATTCAAAATGTAGTAGCT